ACTGGAAAATGCATTTATTGACTTTATCAATTCTAAAAATTCTGAATTCTACTCAGACGGAATTAATAAGTTACCAACACGTTGGGAGAAATGTATTGAGAGTATGGGAAATTATTTTGATTAAAGAACATTGCTTTAAAGTAACTAGTTTCTTTTTTTTTGTTTAATACCAAAATCCTGCATTATTTTCCGGACAACCCAATATTATTGGATCCACGAAGGTCTGAAACTGCAGTGAGCGAATCCGTGCATATTTTGTCGGCTTCTTCCATAAATGTCTGAGAATCCAGATGAGCACGATCTTCCTCCCATTGGCACTATTACTATTAATTTACAAGTTAACAAATATGAACCTCTATTAACAATATAGAAAGTAATGGAAAGAAATTGCGAAACATCCGTCCATCAGATATATAACCATAACCCGGTTGTCCATACAGTATACGGCACAGCCAACACACCTAACCATTTATCTTAAATTTACCATAATAATCTTGTCCACTGCCGCCTCATAAATTTATTAATTTGTAAGTAGATGTCCATATTTGTTTTCCTTGGATATTCTTAATAACCTGCGATGTGTAACACTCGTTTATTTACCGAAGGCCGAGGGTTCGAATCCCGCTCGTGACACTAACTTTTTCATCTCAATCGAGACCTTAGACAAAAAGAATAATTAATTAAAATGTTTAAAATTAAAGATTAATTCCCTAGGATTCGTCCGGCTACGCAATCTTGTTTCTCGATATAATACAAGAAGAACATGGAATTAATTGAAAAATATACAGTAATATTATAATATAGTAGGGCGATTATATGTTATATGCTTTCCCCCCTCTTGTAAGCATATGCTAAATTGTTTAAAGAAAAATCAACGTTATGTGTTTTTTCCTGCTATGTATAAATTTTAATGAAAAATTAATAAGGACGCGTGGTTGATCGAATGACCTTGTAGCTCTCTCGACATGCCATGGTCTTTATCCTTCTTCCATAGAAAGTACATATACATTAAAAATGGACACCAATGCTCTTTATGTATATATTCTGCGGGAAACGTCGTTTTACCAGTTTATAAGGTAAAAATAAGGAGTAGATTGAGATAAATTTGGAATCATTACATGGATTTCACTAACTACTACAACTACATGATAGCAAAACGAACTAGACATCCCCTTCATATAGTTGTTCTGACCAGACATCCATTTTCGCTACAACACAGCGGTTACTTGCCGGTAAGGTAACTAAATGTATCAGCTGATGGGAAATCGGCATAACGAGTGCAGTAAGACGAGGGGCGACTGGTAACAAATTTACGATTCTTGCTATTTAACGAAAATAATATAAGGCCCAATGCTTTAAAAACATCGCTTCTTCCGTTGAGAAGAGAGGTGACCCGTGTTTTCTTTAAATTTCATAAAACCCTATTAAACTGAAAAGGGCAAAGTTCGAAATCAGCTTTGCTTCCCTAGGCAGCCTATCAACCCCGGCCTTTTCTACGAATTATTTGTGTGATTTCAAACTCATTAAAAATAATAAGTTCCGCCCATTCTTAAAGGCCATAGTTTAGGTTTTAAGTTTTAATATGAGACATTAAAGGTGGCTTTGAACTGAACTGCTCAACAATTAATAGGGATATTGCCAATTTTGTAGTATCTACTTTCCCAAGGATTTTTATTTTATTTTTATTATTAATTGCATTAAAATTTATGAGAAATTATTGTTTTTTACTGATGGAAAAGTTAATTAAGCTATTTTGAAAAATAAAAAAATAAATTCCAAAATTTTGGTTATTGGAGCAATAATTTTTTTAAAAATTAATACCGAGTATAACGTTCTTTGTTAACTAAACCCGCTGTGTACTTGTTAATAAGGTTGGGAATAATTTCATGAGGAATTTCTCTCCATAGATGTTGCTGATGGTGATCAAAAGCCTTCTCTGCAACCCATCCCACATGTGCTCAATCGGATTGAGGTCTGGAGACAATGGGCGAAGGGACACATGGGAAATTCCCGGGTATTCTGAACACGGTTGAACAATTCAGTCTTTATGAGGTCTGGCATTGTAATCCAGAAATCGAAAATCCCTGCCAATGGTCCGTGGCTTGAGGGATGTATTCCTTAGACCT